AACTCTCAGCTTTGAAATCTGGAAAGAAGATCAAGTCAGATAGCAGATTGATGACTCTTTTGCCCGTACTCCTGCATGGACGACGTTATTTGTGTTGGCGGCCGTCTGAGACACGCACCTTTAATCTCGGAGAACGTCAACCCTATGATAGTGCCACATCAACATCACATCACCTCGTTAATTATTACCTATTATTTAACAGTCATTGTGCGAACTCGAGTCGTATATGAGCTCATAGCCGACGAGGCGCGTAGCGCCGAGTTGGCTATTGGCCATATACGACGAGAGTAAGCAGAATAACTGTTTTATTATATACACAAACTTTGTCGCCTTTCGGTGCATTTTGGTGTGCTATTATCAACTAAAGCTTGGATTTCAATTTCACTCAACTCCCCAAATCTTTCGGCCATTTTGTTTACTTTCTCTACAAGATAGATATTAGCTAATATCTGTCTAGTAGCCAACCAATGAAATTGCAGCATACCTCATATCTGGTGCTTGTGTATATAATAACACTAAATATTAGGTCACGCCTGTCGAGAGCATGTACTGTCTGTGGTCCGTCAGCGTTGCTGGATCATTAACGCCCGTCTGTTGACTGGTCAGATCTTGCGTCGTTGCGTTACATACCGGAAGAGGAACGAAGCTCCAATGAATCAGATGATGGGCGACCTCCCCAAAGCCAGGCTCACTCCTTACGAACCCCCCTTTACGTATACCGGGTTGGAGCGGTACGGAGAAAGTGTATGGTTGTATTTTCGTCTGCATGCTTCAATACAAGAGCAATCCACTGCAATGAAGATGTCGGATCGTTGGAAGCAGACGATTTTATCCGACTTTGCGTCGTTTCGTCTGCACCCGTGGCGCCGCCAAAGAAATATGGAGCGATAATGGCACAAATTTCGTAGGTGGGGAGAAAGAGATAGGGTCGGCTATGAAGGGATGGAATCAGAAGGCTATTATCGAAGCTCTGAGCGAGAAAGGAGTGGAATGGCACTCACAACCGTTGAAAAAATGGCACTTCCAACCTCCTACAGCTAGCCACATGTTAGGAGTGTGGAAAAGATTAATCCGAAGCGTTCGTAAGACCATGAAAGCCATCCTTGGGCACCCACATGCCTTCGTCAAGCGCGAAACACTGCGTACAGTGTTCGCAGAAGCAGCCGGTATTCTTAACAGGCAACCTCTATGCCCAAGTAGCGACGATCCGAACGATTGCGAACCGATCACCCAAGTAATTTTTTACAATAACGTCAAGGTCTCGCGGTGCCCCTCGGCATATTCGAAGACGCAGAAATTCATTCTCGTAAACAGTGGCGCAGGGGACAAGTTCTGGCTAACCACTTCTGGGTCCGTTGGATCCGCGAATACTTTCCCCTCATGCAGGAAAGAAAGAAGTGGATGACGAAGAAACGACTTGGTGCTTTTAGTGGATACAACTCTACCCAGGGGACATTGGCACTTGGGACGAGTTAGGAAAGTGTTTTACGGAGCAGACGGATTTGTACGCACGGCAGAGGTAAAGACGAAGACATCGAAGTCGGTGAGACCAATTTCTAAGTTATGTCTGCTGGAAGAAGCGACTTATTAAACAAGCGGAACATAAATTTCAATAAACTTTAGGAGAGATAATTAACATATATGTACATCGTAATTTTGATAAGAACCGGCAAGAATGCTGCGGCGCATTGCATGTATAAATAAATAAACTAAATACTGTATGCCATATAATAAATCCCTTATTAACCGAATACTTTCGGTCCGTACGTGGAAAAATATCACACCTCGGTCTTTTATGTACGGACCTCGCTATCGCTCGGTCCGTACTGTCACGACCTCGGTCTGATATTTTTCTTGTACGGACCTCAAATTCGGCTAATAGGTGGTATTTATTATATGGCACCTGTATGGCACGCGGTCTTGTGACTAAATGGCGTGCGCTGATTGGTTCTTTGTCGGTCTGGAATCCCAAAGTATTAGACCGTTGCCGTAGTAACGGTTCAACTCTCATATTTTTGAACAAAAACAAGCTTGCACTCTTATTTTTGACACAAAAAATATCGACGAAGAATGGACGGAGAAGAGCATTATTTGGTACATGTGAATATTATATTTATTCATCTTTGATTTTTGTTTATATTACTGTATCATTCTTATTTAACGAGTAAAAAACAAAGTTTTGAAAGCCAATTCAATGCTTGCTTGGCCACTGGCTGGCGAAAGAGCTGGCTAAAATGCTGCAGCGCATAATATAAATAAATAAACTAAATACTGTGTGCCATATAATAAATCCCTTATTAACCGTGTACGTTCGGTCTGTACTGGAAAAATATCAGACCTTGGTCTGATATTTTTCTAGTACGGACCTCAAATTCGGTTAATAAGTGGTATATATTTTTGAAGGAGTTACAATGAACTCTACATAATTATAAAGACAAATTTCCATTTAGTCGTTATAGCTACCTTCCGGAAACACGATATGTGGATAATTAAGTTGCATATCGCGGTTAGCCGAGATTAAACCAAGCTTGAGATGACTTTGGGCAATGAAATGAGCAACTAACATGATTCTGGCAATAATGTAGTCATCCTGACAATAGCATTTGCTTGTATGGTTTCCTAAAGACTTATTTCAATACCTAAAAGTGGTCTAACGCTTGGTTGAATCACAGCTAGCTTCTTTGTATATTCATCATACAATATTAATCCCATAACAAAACAGCAAGCGAAATAATAATTATATTAATATATCGAAAAAACAGACTTCGATTAATAAACAAGCTTACAGCCGGAAAATAATATATCCCAGTTATTAGTTATTACAGTTTTTTCTTATTATAATATTAACTGTTTGTCGTTTAGCTAATTGCGCTGGGACTGAAAATGGGCGGTTGACAAAAAACATAGCCAAATCAGGCATGCAGGCAGTGCTTCGCCGTCCTCGCCTTGCCTGAACTTAGGGACCGGCTGCCATGCAGGCTACAATATTAGTGACAAAAGCATGTCGCCATAATCAATGTTTTCTCAAATGTTAATTTATTTTTACTGCTATGCCTTGTCACAACCTTCTCGTCACGCATACTTTTCTATGTCGTTTCAACGTCAACGTGATCTACTGAACACAACGTTCGCGACAAACTCCCCGTATTTTTAATCTTGAAAATCAAAATAATTACCATAAAAAACTTTATTTCCTTTTTTTGTATCTCTAAAAATCCGAAATTCGAAGGACCAAAACTCCCGTTTGAATTATGAAAAATATTTCGCTGGTAACGTAGGATTGAAAATGACCTTTCATTGCTACTCCTCTAATTTCCGCCATCATTTAATTCCAGGTTTCCAGTACTTCGTATATGATTTAATTCTCAGATATGTAAACTATTATAGTCTATCTATCAAGCCAGGTTCCTACTTGTCCTAAGCATTGGTGCGAAAAGTGTTTTGTCTGTCGGAGAATAGCACAATAGTACAAACCAGTAGATTAAAAATCAGCGCGCATCTCGACTTTCAAAAATTATTTAGTTTTAGGGCCTGTTTACATGGAGGGAGTTATCCCTGTTAGGCGAGGTAAAAACTCGTCGCATCAAGGCTGAACCTGATTAGTCTTTCATTATATGCAGTTTTCACCTTGCCTAGCCGGGAAAAATAGTGCTATTGAAGTGTAAAAAAAAACGTATATAAATTATTATTCCTTACATAATGAAACTACGAATTTTTGGACACGCAAGAATCAATCTTTCACTGCAAAGACAGCGGAGAGTGCAGAGTGTCTAAGACTAAGTTGATTGTTGGACCGATCCTTGAGGCGATGTAACACGGTGCAATTTTTCTTGCAACTTGCAGTGCAATTCTACTTTTAAGAGATGTAAATTAGTGAAGATTCTTCAAAATGTGAGGGTAAGTGCGCTTTCCATTACGCGGCCAAAATGGTCAGACCGGTCATATTTTAAATTGAAATAGAGCATTTCGTTAAGAATATAGCGATAAAACTACATTTCTCGTGCTAGGCAGATGTAAATAACGATATACTTGAATGCAGGGTTCTTGAAACACTCTAAAATACCAGTAATCTGACTGTACCGAAATACAACAGGACCGGTCTGGCCGTTTTTTCCGTATAAACGAAAGCGCCCTAAGATATGTCATAGAGTGTAAAAAGCCAAATTTATGTCTCTCAAAAAAAGAATTGCATTGCAGGTTGCAGGAAAAATTGCACCGTGTAGCAGGGCTTTTAATTGATCAGTATATTTTAAACTGTAGTTGAATACATCTTAACTGCCTCACTTACTTTTACTATAATTTTTCGTTTGACATTTCTTCCTCGTGCATCGGTTACAGTTTGAAGCTCGGTCTTCAACCAATCGAAAGTGTTCTTAATATCCAATTTAGCCTAGACTTAGCACTAACCCTATGTTAAATTTAACCTGCTTTTGAACAACTGGCCGCTGGTTTTCATATAACATGCAATAAGACCCGTTTCACGCCATATTCAGTTTTATATGAGCGAATACATTAATCAAAGCAATAGATATTGAGGCATTTCCGTTTAATATTGATTGTCCTTGATGTTTTCGGCATGTCAAAAACGGCGTATGAAACAGACGTGACTCGTCATAATTCGTCGAAATTCACTGATATGTTATAATTTGTTGTAATTCGGTTTTTATATGTCAGATTTCGCATAAAAACGAATTACGACGATTGGATTATACGACGAAATATAACAAACGAAACTTAAATTGTATTCACGAAGAAGCAACTGCTTTTTGCACTGCTATAATAGCGTAATATTTAAGGCGATGAACACTCTTTGTTCTCAAAAAGCTCATAGCTTTCGTAATCGTATATAATTACAATTCAACTCGATTTATTCGTCTATTCGAAAAACAACGAATATTTATGTCATATTCTTAAGTCAGAGAATTATGATTTTACAGGAAGTTAAAAGCTGCTTGCAAATAGTGTTTGCCCTTTTTTGGATCCAACCTGTAAGGCGGGGCAAATGCGTCACAGTAATATTGGAAAATGAATGATTTTCATTTTTATAATTTGTGATAGGTTTGTCTCTTCAGAGGTATTGAATGCTATAATTGAATATACCAAGCTACATCGTGGAGGAATGCGGTAAAAGTTATTTAAAAGTATCTATGCTTCAGCAAGGTGAATATTATGATTACTGTTGTATAATTATTTTATAGTGGTTTAATGAGATTACAGTCTAGTTTAATTCTACCAGCAAACCTTCCGCATTTGATCTTTATTGTGGGGAAAATAAGACCCATTAACCATATTTAAATTACTGTAGTCAATACGTGTTAGTCGATACGAAAGACTGTTGGTAACTCTTGAAAACAAGTTTGATTATTTCGCTGTGGTTTTTGTTTCGTCTAGACAATAAGCGACGTAAACTTCAAACGTGATAAATTTTAGACCACTTTAATAAAAGATTTAAAGTAAATCAAAGTCTCATCTAAACATGAATTCTTCCGTCAAATATTGCACTCTATTGTTCGCTGTGTGTAATTTTTCTAATTGATCAGTGATCTCATATGCCATAACAAACTATATTTTCGAAGGAGTTTCAATGAAATCTACATAATCATAAAGACAAATTTGATTTTGGTTGTTATAGCTAACTTCCGGAAACACGTTATGTGGGTAATTAAGTTGCATATCGCGGTTAGCCGAGATTAAACCAAGCTTGAGATGACTTTGCATGGTAATGAAATGAGCAAATAACATGATTCTGGCAGGTATTCTGATAGGCATGCTCTATCTGCGATCGTATAAATATATTGTGGTACAGAGTTGGCGACTTCTGAAACGTTTCCGTCGAAAGCATTTTGGCTACTTGAATAATTTGATCTCCTATTATACAGTAAATCAGCGAGAAGATAAAATAACGAGAACGCTACTACGCTCAGCTTTTATATTTGTTTTCGCCATCCTTTTCTTGCACGTAAAGTAACTATAGTATACGTAGGTACTAGGTAGAACGGAATCATAACTATTAGGTAGAAGGGCTAAAACATGCTTCCCAAGGAGTAAATCTTTGACGCTATCTGTTGCTCGCGTTTTATAATCACTGCGTGTTTCGACTTTCGAAAATTATTTAGTTTTAGAAGAGCGGAGCGAACGCAATCGACAATAAATTCCGCTAACACCAGACGCCTACAAATTATTGCTTTTCCAAGCCGTAGTAGAACGGTGGATAGCAGTTGTACAACGCTATCAACTTTCGGAAAGATGAAAACTCTCCCCCCTGATGTATGTATATTACCCTGACATTGCGCAACGTAGTCATTTTGAAATTTGTAATTGTTGCTCCTTACAACAATTTGTAATTGTTGCTCCAGTGTTCATCCATAGGTAGCCCGATAAAGATTCGAAATAGTAAAATTTGCTCCAGTCGCGCTATCATTGATTTTGCCTCGGACCACTATGACGTCACTGAACTCACAACGAAGTGGAGTGAAGCGCAACTGAAGCAAATTTGAGTAATTTAAATATTGAATGTAGTTCCTATGGTCCATCGCTTGCGAATACATTACATTCAATGATTATTTCTGTACTTCTGCTCGACAAAAAAAGTTTAAATTACAACCAACATCCCTTAGATGCAGTTGTGGCAATCGATATATTTGCATCTCTTTGTATGTGTTCTGGAAATTGTGTCATCAACAGGACAAGGTAAAAATTAAACAATACTTAGACCTGTTTACACTAGCTATACCGAATTAGCATGATCATGAGCCTATGGCATCAAAAATTGCTATGTCAAAGGAAATTTTACCCCCCAAAGTATGGAAGCCTGATCCAACCAAGCAGGCAATGACACACGTTCATCCGACCCTGATCTGAAAGGTCTGTTCACACGATCCAATTTTTTTTTGCATCCAATCCACTTTTGACGTACGGAATAGAGTCGGTTGTTGATAAAGCAGTACAGCATTGGCTTCAGCGGGTTTGCTGATCATATACACTACAAGGCATCCGACTATAAAACATACATCAAGATGATGATGTTTTATTGGTCTTGAATATAGTTTATACAGCATAAAGTATGGTATGCAAAAAACAAGCCAATTTCCGCTAAAAAATAAAACTTTCCCTCAAGAATGCAGTCTGCAGAATTTTAAACATTTAAATGACTTTTATTTTGTAGTTTTAACTAATATATATTTTAAGTAACCTAAATATAATTTGATGCATACAGTTACATTTGGATTCCAAAGTTCAACCTACACCGTTGGTGAGGCAGATGATAAATTGCAGGTTTGTCTTGGTGTTAGCAATTTTGATGGGACTTCCTTTTCAGGAACGTGAGTAAATTTTCTTTATATTTATCAGCACATCCGGATAGCGGACGAAATACTTTGTAATTGAATCATCCATGCAATATTGTTAAAAATTTTAGACAATTTACTTCTCTCTTTTTCACTCTCGTACTGTAATTTCAAAGTGAACAGTCCTCTTTCTCAACATCTTTGATCTTTAGATGAAAAATATCTGTTTTGATGACAACAATTAATAAATCGATAAATCTGTACAACCAACATGTGCCGCTAATTTTGTGTCTATCGGTTTAATGTGTTTTATCAAAATATTTCAAGATTAACATTCAGAAATGGCACTGCAACAAGCGGAGAAGATTACAAAGTTTTAGTAGGTGATGAGAAATCTGTTGGAATACAAAGTTTTATTCAAACAACTGATTGCGTTGATATTTGATAATTGATGATAACAGTTATGAAGGCAGCGAAAATTTTACAGTTGTTTGATGTTAAATAACAATCCCAACGTTCAAATTTCTGTTGGCGAAGCGACAGTGACTATCACAGATGATGACGGTAATGATTGTAGATCAGAGATGTATTTTCTATATATTATAGTTCCTGACATTTTTTTAGTGTGCAACGCAAGTGCAGATAGCACAGCATTTCTTTATTTATATTCACCATTAATTCATGAAGATTAACGCCTGTATTCTAAAAGCTCCCTCACACTCAAATTTATTGAGTGGGAGATCTTCATCTTCTCATAACGTTTTAATGGCGGCATTTACAGACAAATAGGGGCTTGATTTTCAGTGATTCACCTTATATCTTTCCATCTATTCAGAAAAACTTTCTCATTGATCAGCATTAACAAAATATTTATGTCACACTCAATGAGTGTGAGTGTGAGTGAGCTTTTTGAATACAGGCGTAAGTCTCGTACATCGCCATTCGTCGGCACTGTTTTTGTCGGTTCATATTGATGAGTAAAATGCTGTGTCTATTTAAAAAAAATATTTACTTAATTGATCACAAATAATGGATCGTAGAACATCGCCGATGACATCGCGATACTGTATGAGAACTAGGCCTAAGTCTTTAATTCTCATCATTTTCAAAATGGTTGCAAAGATTAAACGTTCGCAACACTTGCTTCAGTCAGCAATGTCTCAAAATTTCACAAGCTCCAAATTCTAAGGTACATTGAAAATTAGATTTAATCTTCTTGAAGAGAAAGTATAAGTGAGGTATCATTTTTATGTAGCCCTCTTACATCCCCGATAAAGGTGAAAGCTAGTATGTTTTTAATTATATTCTTACCTTTGAAACTTGGATGCAATTCGTACTACATTTCGGTTCGAAAGTTCCACTTACACTGTTGGGTGAGAAAGATGGTACCGTGAGGGTTACCTTTTTATCAGCAATTATCAAGAAAACTTTTTAGCAACATGTTTAGATTTCGCATTAATTGATTTCGAAAATGAACAAATTGCATGCTCCAAATTTAATCCACATTAAAAATAAAATTTAAACTGTTAGATGAGAAATCTACAGCGGTAAAATTTTTCAAATTCGCTAATATAAAAACCAATTGCATTTACTAGTGAATATGATACGCGGACATGATGCAAAACTATACATGCTTAGAAATAGTGGGCACTGTGTTGTTTTCGCTTTTTGACGTCAAGAAATAGCCAATTTCAAAGAGAAAATATACCGCATTCTCAACGAGAGATTTGCAGAAAACACCAAAGTTTTAAAATAATTCCAATGAAGTCTAATGGCTAAATGATAAGGGATAAGAAAATCAATGTCATTGTCTGGTAATATCACAATTGTGTTAAAAAATAATTACTATGCCTTCATTATCAACTCTCTTTTAATCGTTACTGGGAACATAATATGTGCAAAAGCAATTAGTATTTGTGGACAATTAAAAAATATTCGACTTTATCCTTTTTTAAAATTATTATTTCCAGATTTCGACGAATGTGATGCAGGGTCTCATAATTGCCATCACAATGCCTACTGTAATAATACTGATGGCTCTTTCAATTGTACATGCAAAAATGGCTACTCAGGAAATGGGACAAGCTGTCAAGGTTAGACTTCAGTATAGTAAAATTCAAAAGTTAAAATTTCCCATAATTCTACAGATTTAAATTTCGCAGGAAACTCAATGGCATTGTCTAGTCATCGCACACTTTTTAGAAATAAGATCCCTATATATATATTACTAGGCACACAAAGTGAAGAGAAACTATTTATTTGTGTACAATAGAAATATATCTCGATTTTTTTCTCCCGAATTATTATTTGCAGATTTCAACGAATGTGATGCAGGGAATCACAGATGCCATCAGAATGCTCACTGTAACAATACTGATGGTTCTTTTAATTGTTCATGAAAAATTGGTTTCATTGGGAGTGGGACAGACTGTGAAGGTTAGGCCAGGGTATAGCAGAGGTTTCCCATAGTTTCTAAGCTTTAAACATCGCAAGAAACCTTGACAGCATTGATTAGTCATTGCATTTTTTTACAAATTAAATTATGGTTTCTAAAGCTTTGTTTCGAATATAACTTGGAACATATAACGAACAAAGGCGTTGTATAAGTGAACAATAGAAAATACACTATATGGAATTTTGACTTTTTTGCTAAATAATTATTTCTAGATTTCGACGAGTGTGATGCAGGGAGTCACATTTGCCATCAGAATGCTCTGTGTAACAATACTGATGGTTCTTTTAATTGTTCATGCAAAATTGGTTTCATCGGGAATGGAACAGACTGTAAAGGTTAGGCTTGAGTATAGCAGAGGTTTTCCATCGTTCCACAGCTTTAAACATCGAAGGAAACTTCAATAGCATTGTCTAGTCATCGCAATTTTATTAAAAATTAAATATGATTGGTTTCTAAAGCTTTGTTATGAATATGACTAGGAATATACAATCAACGAAGGCGATGTATATGTGAACAATAGAAAACATTAGGAATTTTATCTTTTTTGCTAAATTATTATTTCAAGATTTCGACGATTGTAATGCAGGGAATCACAGTTGCCATCAGAATGCTCATTGTAACAATACTGATGGTTCTTTTAATTGTTCATGCAAAATTGGTTTCATGGGAAATGGAACAGACTGTCAAGGTGAAGCTTGAGTATGGCAGATATCTATCGATGTCTAACTTGCATTCTAGTTTCACAGCTTTAAACTTCGCAGAAAACATGTATGGCATTGTCTAATAATCTAGGCTTTGTTAGAAATATAATCACCATGATTGCCATGCATTCGTTATCAAAAGACTTTTAGTTTTTACAGGGACATAAAGAAAACAAAACGAATGTGTTTGTAAACAGTAAAAAAATATCAAGAATGATATCGTTTTCCCGACATTATCATTTTCAGATTCAAACGAAAGTGTTGCGGGGACTCACAACTGCCATCAGAATGCGCATTGTAACAATATTGATGGTTCTTTTAATTGTTCATGCAAAATTGGTTACTTGGGAAATGGAACAAACTGTCAAGGTGAAGGTTGAGTATGACAGATATCTATCGATGTCTAACTTGCATTGTAGTTTCACAGCTTTAAACTTGGCAGGAAACATATATGGCATTGTCTAATCATTTCAATTTTATTAGAAATATAATCCCATTATCGCCATGCATTCGTTATCAAAAGACTTTTAGTTTTTACAAGGACATAAAGAAAACAAAACGAATGTGTTTGTAAACAGTAGGAAAATATCAAAAATGATATCGTTTTCCCGACATTATCATTCTCAGATTTTAACGAATGTGATGCGGGGACTCACAATTGCCATCAGAATGCTCTCTGTAACAATACTGATGGTTCTTTTAATTGTTCATGCAAAATTGGTTTCATGGGAAATGGAACAGACTGTCAAGGTGAAGCTTGAGTGTGACAGATTTCTAACTTGCATTGTAGTTTCACAGCTTTAAACTTCGCAGGAAACATATATGGCATTGTCTAGTCATCTCAGCTTTGTTGGAAATATAATCACCATGATCGCCATACATTCGTTATCAAAAGACTTTTAGTTTTTACAACGACATAAAGAAAACAAAACGAATGTGTTTGTGAACAGTAGAAAAATATCAAGAGTGATATCGTTTTTCCCACATTATCATTTTCAGATTTAAATGAATGTGTTGCGGGGACTCACAACTGCCATCAGAATGCTCATTGTAACAATATTGATGGTTCTTTTAATTGTTCATGCAAAATTGGATGCAGGGGAAATGGAACAGATTGTCAAGGTCAGGCCCTGACTGAAATCTTTCCCATGCTTGTTTATCGACAGAATTTTAATTGTTAAAGAAGATACTTTTTTGCTAAAGTTCCTTTAAAGATTTCGACGAATGTGATGCAGTGCATGATTGAAAAAACTGAGATTTTTTCGATGACACTTGCAAAATATCAGAATTATTGAGAATATTATTATGAACACTATAATTATATAAAAATCCTAATCCTTAATTAAATTATTTTTTCAGATATTGACGTATGCATTAAAAAATCTCATAATTGCCATCATAACGCCCACTGTAATAATACTGATAGTTCTTTCAATTGTTCATGCAAAAATGGTTTCGGGGGAAATGGAACAGGCTGTCAAGGTTAGGCTTGAATATAGTATAATACAATAGTATAACTTGCTAGCAATGGCTCAAAAGTTCAGGAGCTGTATATTAATGACGTTTTAGGTTTTAGCCATGAAACGTTTACAAGAAATATGATTACCGGGTCTTGTTTATAACCATGCACGTTTGTAACGAAAATTGGAATAGCGATTCAAAAAATAGAATGATTCAAAAAACATTTTTTTATTGTGAGAAATTATGTACAGACATAACAGAATGTATTTGGTTCTTTCTCGATTCGTTCTCAAGCGTCTTTGGGTAAATGCAGTGTCTTTGGGGGAATTTCGTTTTGACCAATTAGCAAGTTTGTTAACATTTTCAGTAACTTAATCAGAATGTATAAATTTTGAGTACTTCCAGGTAAAAAGATGAGTTATTTACCACTTTACACGACGTTTTAAAAATTAAAACATTCTGATTGACTTTGTCTAAAAAATGCAAACAAATATTATGCCGATTAGTTTTAAACGAAATCCCCCCTTTTTGGTAAATTCAGTATGTTTTCCCATTTGTGTTACAAATGAAAACGATTTCCCCCTACCCACAAGAGAACATTTCGTCGGTTCTTTATATTAAACAGCATAAACTTTATTCTGACCAGTATTTTTTTAAGAAAAGTGTCTATTTGAGTGAAAATTTCGGATTCAAAGCTTAATTTTTTCCTGATCTTTTTTGGACGAAGGACGACATATTTTCTTAAATTTCATCAGTTCTGAATGTCCACGAATGTAACGCTAGAATACGAGATTGCCCTTTCG